GTGGACTCGTTAAAGAAAACTGTTGAAGGTAAGAGGTACCAAATTAAATTTAACAACCAAAACGTATTTCTTACTTTTATACTTTATTGAGAATCACATATTGATCAAAACGTTGGTATAGGAGGTAAACAGCGATGCATATTTTTTAAAATGCTGTGAAAATTATAAGTGAAAAAGATAATAACTTCTCGCTTTTTTCAGTTTTAACGACACAGAAGGCGGGCATGCAACGGTACATCGATTGTCTGGTAGCCAAGGTGATGGAAGTGTGTCCAGAAGCACTTGAAAACTGCGATATACATTGACAGTCGAATTGACGACCAATAATGAATAGATGCAAGTTGGCAAATCTGCTTAGCACAAACATCATAGTAACTATTGTAGTCGTATTCACTCTGGCCCTATAATAATTACAATCACATGTTTTAACATGTCTTCTTTTCAAGCGTTACATCGGGAGGAATGCAATTGTCTTCGATTTCAAACGGTTTACACGTGTATTTTATGAGCGCACATTTTTTTGGAGAGTGCATTTAGCGTATTTTAATTGTGTGGAATGTGGCAAATTATTAATATACCTGCAGTTATGGATAATGATGTTTTCTTCAGCAGCACTTCAAGAGAATAATTCATTATGGAACGCGAGCGTCGGCCCAACGTAACGTCAATAATGATGATGAAAAGCAGTCAAGTTTAAAAATAAATTATAATTAATATTGAAAAACTGTCACAATATAGTTATGCTGCTTGTCTAATGTACAAATTTACAAACATTCACACTTTATGCAACTTTAAACAGATATGTATTGTTTTATTCTGACAGCCAACGTAGTAATTACAGTATACAAAATGCATAACTTGCAACAATACATGCAGGTATTGTACAGTTATCAATGCATTCTTTGTTTATGATTACAAACAGCAGTACAGTACCACTTGACTAATTATTTTGGAAAGCAGTAATATGAACACAAAACTCATGTCCACTTTGCCAAATAAATATCTAAATATTTTAAACTATAATATACTGTACAGGGTAATACGATATATAATTTAATTTTATATTTTATAACCTAGTTTCATACATCTTCTGTACAGTATTTACTTAATAATGTATAATTGTTGTATTGTAAATGTATTCACAGCAATAAACACAAACTCATTATCGTGACATATTTCCGAATGTACGATTTATTAACGTGATGCTCTTGAGTCAGAATAATGCATCCTTATCTTCTTTAATTAAGAATAGAATCATCACTGGTCCTGCACTTGTTTTTACTTCCTCCTCACACGTGATCAGAAACGAAGCCCCGATTCCGTAGGCCAGGCATGGAATACCTGATTACATAGAAAGAAAGATGTACAATAAAATATATGGTTTTGGTTATGGTTATGGTTTGAAAATAATGATGTAAGAGAGAAGATGTTTAACCCGAAGACCCTGGTTCAGATCCAACTAACGTCGGACTTTAATTGGAGTTGATCGCTCGGCTTGGAAAACGTATAGTAGGCGCAAGACAGACACCGCTATATAACTGCTCATTTATTACTTCACATTATTATGAGAGTTAGGCGAGAGAGGGGACCTACAATTGGCAGTGGAGCCGCATTATGCCTGCCGCGCATCCTAAGGAACCCAGCTGCAATTTCTAAAAGCAAATTTTAAATAATGAAAGGAAAAAAAACGAAATATAAAAATTATTAAACCACCCCCAATAAAACATTTACAGGTATTTTTCTAAAACGTGTTTTTATCAAACAATAAATTTACACTAATGCACTTACCAAAATTAACAACTTTCAAAATTCCAAACAATCTATTGTCAAGAGTTAAATCCTGCCAAGGCCTCTTAGTGCAGTGGTATTTGATGAAAGGATAACAACCAGTTCTAAGTATATGATAATTTGTTCCGTCTACATCCCAATTAAAATGCGAGAGCCCAAACTGATCACTATTAATGTTCGAGTACCTGACAAAATAAGAGGTCCATGCTGGAAGATTGCGCTGCTTTAGGTGGCACGTCAGAACCTCTGATGACGTAGGCCTTTGGTGTTTTGGAGTGTTTCTTATCAACTTTGAAAAAGCAGCTGCGATGGACATCTTACTTGTATTAGTCATCTTTTGTTTTCATTCATTATTGGTCTTTAATAAATAGAAAACATACATCAAAAACTATAA